TTTATTCTCATTGGCTGGTCAGAGCTCAAGGGCTGGACACAGTTACTAACTCCTTGTCAATAAAGAAGCCTTACATCTGCCTAAAGAAGTTTCTATAATTGTCAGCTACACCACAAATGAACTGAAAACATACCCAGCTTCTGTTCACACCTGAGCCTGTCTGAGAACAGTACACAGTTATTCTACATGGCTTTTGAGTCAATTGTATGGTTAATTTTTGATACTACACATAATTTTGTTAAATTGAAGTTACATAAAAAACTAGTAGTTGATCTTTCTCTTTGAAGACAATGAGTTCATTTCTGTCACTGTGTTAATGAGTCCATAATCAAAGACAATCAGATTAATGCACAGGTCTAAGGTACTGAGGTGATTTTTCATTGTCTTTAACGAGGAAGAACATAGAGCTGGTATGATTTTGGTGCATTTGACATGAAGCTCGACTCGGGAGTTATATCAATGTCTTTGGCGTCAACGACAGGTTTCAAGGTAAAGTTCTGCAAAATCATGATCAGTACCAAGAAGAACTCCATCCGAGCCAGACCCTCTCCCACGCAAATCCGTTTCCCTGCAATGAAAAAGGAATTTTGAGTTGATGCTGGAGATCTTTCTTTGCAGCACATTTTAAATATGGTGTAAAGTATCAGAGGGATAGCCGTGTTAGTCTGGATCTGTAAAAAATGACAAAGAGTCCTGTGGCACCTTATAGACTAACAGATGTATTGGAGCATAAGCTTTCATGGGTGAATACTCACTTCATCAGTAGTATGCCACAGGACTCTTTGTTGCATTTTAAATATGGTTATTATGGAAGCAAAATGTGAGGATTAAAGTTAGATGTACAGAGTGATTCAGGGCAAGTGCATGGAGGATAATGGCTGTTTCTCAGAGTTCAGCAAGGTATGAAAGTGTATGGGGGGTTTAAGAAGCCACTCACACATAATTTGAAGAATTGAGTTCCTTATATTGCCATTTTAAAGGCAGTTTGGAGTGAAGGGTGGAAGATGTGGGGGGCGGGAAGATGTGGGGTTTGAGGAATAGGTTATCCACATTCCAAACAAGCTACACAGTTTTCTGGGGGACTGACATGATGGTGATTGAGTAGAAGGGGAGAAGTAACAATTAGAAAGGTGTAGGTGTCCTAAGGAGCAGGATGGAGGAGGAAGGCTGAAAGGCACTGTTAACAGAGTGACAGGGAGGCTCGGTAGCTTAGATTCAAGTAGAGAAGTTAAGTAGCCCCTTGATGACATCAAAAAGGCTGAGGTATTTAATGCCCCTTCTGCTTCAGTCTTCACTGGAAAGGTGAAAGGTGACCAGATACCCAACACAATTAATATTAACAACAAGGGGAAAGAAACACACTCCAAAATAGGGGGAGAACAGGTTAAAGAATATTTAGATAAGTTAGACATATTCAAGTCAGCAGAGGCCAATGAACTTAAGGAACTAGTTGAAACAACCTCAGAACTGTTAGCAATTATCTTCGAGAACTCATGGAGGATGGGTGAGGTCCCAGAAGACTGGAATGGAAAAACATAGTATCTATCTTTAACAAGGGGAACAAAGAGGACCTGGGGAATTGTCGATCAGTCAGCCTGGAAAGATACTGGAATAAATTATTAAACAATCAATTGGTAAGTACCTAGAAGATAATAGGGTTATGAGGAATAGCCAGCATGGATTTGTCAAGAGCAAATCATGCCAAACCAACCAGATTTCCTTCTTTAACAGGGTTACTGACCTAGAGAACAGAGAGGAAGCAGTACATGTGATATATCTTGGTTTTAATATGGCTTTTGACACAGACCCACATGACATTCTCATTAGCGAACTAGAGAAATGTGGTCAATATGAAATTACTATAAGGTGGGTTCAGAACTGGTTGAAAAAAACCTACTCAGAGAGTAGGTATCAATGATTTGCTTTCAGACTGCGAGGGTGTATATAATGGGGTCCAGGAAGGGCCTTTCTTGTGTCCAGTACTAGTCAATATTTTCATTAATAACTTGGATAATGGACTGGAGAATATGTTTATAATATATGGACATTTATAATGCACAACTATAAAATGGGGAATAGCTGGCTAAGCAGTAGTACTGCTGAAAAGCATCCGGGGAGTTATAGTGGGTCACAAATTGAATATAAAAGTCAACCATGTGATGCAGCTACAAAAAAGGCTAACAACATTCTGGGGTGTATTAACAGGAGTATCATATATAAGAAACGGAGGTAATTATCCCACTCTGCTCAGCACTGGTGAGGTCTCAGCTGGAGTACCCTGTCCAGTTCTGAGCACCACACTTTAGGAACGATGTGGATAAATTAGAGAGAGTCCTGAAGAGAGCAACAAAAATTATCAAAGATTTAGAAAACCTGACCTCTGAGGAAAGGTTAACAAAACTGGGCCTGTTTAGTCTTGATAAAAGAAGATTGAGGGGGGAACCTGATAATAGTCTTCAAATATGTGAAGGGCTGTTAGAAAAAGAACAGGGATCAACTGTTCTCCTTGTCCACTGAAGGTAGGACAAGAAGTAATGGGCTTAATCTGCAGCAAGGGAGATTTAGGTTAGACATTAGGAAAACTTTTTTAACGATATGGGTAGTCAAACTGTGGAACAGGCATCCAAGGGAGGTTGTGGACTCCCCATCAACGGAGGGTTTTAAGAACAGGCTGGACAAACATCTGTCACGGATGGTCTAGATTTACGTGATCCTGCATCAGCGCAGGGGGCTGGACTTGATAACGGGTCGAGGTCCTTCCAGCCCTGCATTTCTAGGATCTCTCTCCAGATGACTATGCAGTTGGCTGTGTCTTACTGTATGTTTGGTACTCCCTTCAATTTTAGGGTTATCTGCACATTTGGTCATGGATTAATTTATACCCGACAGACACCACACAAAGCGAGACACAAAGTTGCCAGGCAGAGCGAAGAGAAAGGAGTGTGTAGTTAGTGAAAAAAAACTCATTTCAGACCAAGGAACAGAAAGTGACACTCTTTAAAGACTGATAGATGCTTTGCTAGCATGAGAGACTCTGCTTCATAGGCCACCTGAAAACCCTCTGCACTAAATAGTCTGAGAGCCACTAGGAAGTTCAAGGCAAAGCCAGAAGGCAGTCTAGGATCTCAAATAAAAACGGCTTATTTTACCTGCAGAAAAAGGCACGAAGTAGTCACTCTTCTTAAAGGCACCATTTTCATCCAAGAAATGTCCCGGGTTAAATTGCTCTGGGTTTGGAAATTCCCTGCTGTCATATAGAACTGACTTCAGTGCAGGGAATATTGTTGTCCCCTGAATTAGCAAATGCAGAAGAAAAGAGTTAAAGTGGAAACTATCCAAAAGAGAGAAGCCTCCAAAATTCACTGAGCTGGACTGTGGGATCCATCTTTGTTTTTCTTCATTTCCTTGCATCCCCTGAACCTCATGCTTTCAACCAGAAGCAGAAATATTAAAATTTCATGAGCACAGTTATACCCACTGAACAGCAGTTCACCCTTTGTACTACTCACTGGCAGAGCTAGAATACACTGAGTGACTTTGGGCAAGTCACTTTTGGTGTCAGAGCCCTTGTTGCCCCCCTCTGTAAAATGGGGATAGCGATACTACCTCCTCTTGGTAAAGTGCTTTGAGATACAGGAGGTAAGTATTATTATTCAGCATATCAGACCCAACAAAATACCCCTGCCAGTGAGAGAGAGAAGCTACATCAAATAAATTATTTTTGGGAAGTCCTATGGCCTATGTTATACAGGTCAGACTAGATGATCACAATCATCCTTTCTGGCCTTGTATCTCTGTCCACTAGTATCTTCGGAGGATGTTAAGCAGAAGCTACTAATGTTAGATATTTTGAAATCAGCAGGTCCAGGTAACTTGCATTCAAGAGTTCTAAAAGAGCTGGCCGAGGCACTTGGTGGACCCATTAATGTTGATTTTCAATAAATCTTGGAGCAGTGGGGAAGTTCCAGAAGACTGGAAGAAAGCTAATGCTGTGCCAATTTTTAAAAAGGGTCAATGGAATAAGCTGGTTAATCACTGGCTTATCAGCCTGACATCGATCCCAGACAAGATAATGAAGTAGATATTATGGGACTAGATTAATAAATAACTAAAGGAGGATAATGTAATTAATTCAAATCGACATGGGGTTATGGAAAATAGATTCGGTCAAACTAACTTGATATCCTTTTTTGATGCGATTACAAGGGTGGTTGATAAGGGTAGTAGTGATGACATACTTAGGCTTCTATAAGGCATGACTTGGTATCACATAACATTTTGATTAAAAAACAGAATATAAAATTAATATGGCACATATTAAATGGATTAAAAACTGGCTAACTGATAGATCTCAAAATTTAATTGTAAATAGGAAATTGTTATTGAGCGGGTCTGTTTTCAGTGGGATCCTGCAGGCACTGGTTCTTGGCCCTATGCTATTTAACATTTTTAACAAGGATGTAGAAGAAAACAGAAAATCATCACTGATAAAATTTGCAGATGACACAAAACTTGGGGGAGTGGCAAATACTGAAGAGGACAGGTCACTGATTCAGAGCAATCTAGCTTGCTTGGTAAAAAGGACTCAAGCAAACAATATGCATTTTAATACGATCACAATGGTCCTGTCTAGCATAAGAATCTATTAGTCTATTTAATATAAATCTAAGTCTATTTTTCATTATTTAGTAAACAAAAACCAAGAACTGTGCAAGCTTGGCTCACTATTAAAAATACAGTAACCTTGAAGTGTAGTTTTTGTTTTCTTTCGTATTTGTATTGATTGGCTTGCATTCAGTTCCAGAAATAAGCAAAGGTTGGGAGGGCTCTAATACTTTTTAAATGTATTCAGTCATTTCCATTTGCTATGATGTTCTGCTTGTGAACTAACTGTGCCAAGAAATTTCCCCAGAAAAAAAAGCCCTTTGGCCTCAAAAGAAGAGAATGTTTCTGCATACTAGTTTGATACCAAAATCTTAGTGATTACCATTGCTAAATGCATTTTCTATTCCATATCTAAATGCCACAGCTAGAATCTGAAACCCTTTCCTGGAATGAAAGCCCAGTCTGCAGACTGCAAACTGCTGTTCTGCTTCATGCAGAGGCTTAGAGGGATTCAGTAATAATTGGTATATTATTGGTAAATCAGCAACAAAAAAACACCACACAAAATCTAGTTGAAGCATTTCTATTGCGAATAATTCAAAATTAAGAAGAGAAAAAGGTAAAAGAACTTGACCCTTCACAGACACATTGAGAACTGACCTTGGGAATAACATACTGTTTGAGATGAACTTCTCTAGTCACAGCACGTGGGACACCTAATGGGACAAGAGCGATGAATCTCTGGATTTCATGTACCACAGCATTTGTGTAGGGCATCTGGCTTCGATCCGCCATGCAGGGGCTTCGGCTTCGGCCAATCACACGGTCAATCTCTTCGTGAACTTTCTCTGTCATCAGATTAATGAGGCTTAATTATAATGGTAAAGAAGAGGATTCCCATAAATTTGCCCACCATTGTGTCACACTGTCTGCTATTTGGGATTATAACAAATCTGGTCAATTTGGTGTTACAATAACTTCACTGATCTGGATTGAGAGAGGAATTCAATCACAACGGCCTATTTAGCCTTTGGACCCTTTGCTCAGACTGTCAATACGGGGACAAGTAATGCCCATTGTAATGGTGCTTTTTGGATGAGAACTCCTGCCTGCAGGGAACCCCCCCAACCCTCCGAACACATCTTCAACTCACTTCACATAAACTAATGAACCACCGCCATGTTACAACAACATAGGTCACTGCCAGGCCAGGCCAGGCCAGGCCAGGCGTGGCACGTTCTGGTGACTGAAGGGGAGATGTCTATATCCATTTACTGGTCCATGCATTCCTCACTTCCCCCCAGGACCTAACATTTTGTGTGTTCAGGGAGGGGAGACTTCTACCTTCTATTTCTGGGTATTTCAGAAGAATCAGGAGTCCATATTTCAGAGTGATGCTGGTTGTCCCTGTTCCACCGACAAATAACTCTATTGTGCTTCGTGCCAAACTTTCCACATTAAATTCTGACTGGACATTCTTTTGCTCCTGAAAAAAGATTTGGTGATGATCTTTGATTCTTGACAGTAAAACTGTAGGATATATTCAGATATATATTCTTCTACCCAACAGGTGACCCACCTCTGATCATTATAAAAATCCCACAAAAATGGCCCATAGCACCTGACATTACAACTGTATTACTGTGGTGCAATGGGCCTGTTCTGTGCAATAAGTTGATTTTTTTTTTTTTTACATGAAGGAGGAGAGCAGAGTTTGACCATTATAATGTATGTTCCTTGGGCAGAGACCATGTCTTCCCTTCGGGCCTTCTCCAAAGCCATGTCCTATATTATTACTTAACAAATTAATCCCAATGATACATATAACCTACTCCACAGGAAAGCGGAAGGGCTGCTGCCCTCACATACCTGTTCCAGTTTGACGAGGAAAGCATCGATAAAGTCTTGAGGGTAGTTGGGATCCAGAGACTCTTTGTGCATCTTCACTCTCTCCAGAACAAGTCTTCTGAACTCCTGAGCATTTTTAAATATCCTCCGGTGAGGCCCAGGGATGTAAGCCATGAGAGTTGGGAAAAAAGAGTACAGCTATAAAGGATGAAAGAAAAACACAGCTTGATATATCTGGACACAACAGTCATAGTGTTCACTCAAATGAGTCAAGTACAGCAGAACAATACAATATTGCTTTGGCACCGTCTTATGAAAATGGATTCAACGGATCATTGCAAACTCCACTAAGTAAGACTATCGAACATACATAAATTCCTCACAAAAACAGCAGTGACATTCAGTTATATCAGCTAAGGTATGCTCCATTTTTTCCCCCACATAAAACCACCCCCAGTACACACATCCTTTTCTTGGGAAAAAAAAAAACACACACACTCAAGTGCCCAATCTTAGCTCTGACCACAAATTTTCTTAGGCAACAATAAACCATTATAGACTTTAAAAGGAAAATATACATTAGACTTCCTGAGGTGGCAGTAAAAGGGTCAAATTCTCTCTTGTGGTGTAACTCCCTTTATTTTGACCGAGTTATGCCAACAAAGAGTTTGGCCCTTCATTGTGCAATTAGCAAGGTTTTCAGGAATGGGGGTGTGTCTGGTGGCTGGCTGTGAGCTGGAAGTGAAAGGAAGTTTGCTTTGGAGGTGAGAAATATGTTCACATTCACTATCATGTTGCTTATGTGATAAGGCATGTGACATGTCATTGGTGTGGATGTTAATATTTTAACTGGCAACTTCCTTGATTTTTACCAATAATGTTGATAGTGAATATCCATAAGCAAACTTAATTCTGGGCTAATGAAGTGTTTTGTGTGGGAATTTAAACAAGACTTAGAAACAAGTTTAAGGCTGGGTTTGGTAGTAGCTGCAGCCTAATGAAGAGAATAAGACCATTATGGGAATCTGAAATAACATTTGTTTAAGGAAAATTAATAGTTAAAGAAAGAAATCTCTGTTCCCTCCCCCAGTACAAATGAGGAGAATAGAATAAACCCCTGAACATACCGCTGTCCAAGGAGAGCGCAGGAGCTTGTCATTTTCCTGTACAAGACTAATTAAAGTAACAAACTCCTTATCTTCATAGTCAAACCGGTCCCCAAAGACGATGGAGCAGATGACATTGGAGAGTGCGTGGGTGAGGAAGAGGGTGGGGTCAAAGGGCCGCCCTGGAGCAAAACAAAACTATGAAGAGTCAGTTTTAAGTCAGTGTCTTCACCGTCAACATCAGAGTCACTGGCAGCACGGGGACATTGTGGATCTCCCACCCCAGGGCAAGGTGGGGCTGACAGCAATATTCCCTGGGGAGGGTGGGTTAGGGCTGCCCCAATCCCCACTTTTACTTCTCACATGCTAAATTAAACAAACACCACTTTTTCTGCTGGCAATCAGTTTTCACTCTGCTCTGCTGCTTGGCACACTCTGGTCTGACCAGGGGCCATCATTTTATGGTATTGCCACCCTTACTTCTGCGCTGCTGCCTGTAGAGCTGGGCCCTCAGTCAGCAGCCGCCACTTTCCAGCCGCCCAGCTCTGAAGGCAGCAGCGCAGAAGTAAGGATGGCATGGTATGGTACTGCCACTCTTACTTCTTTGTTGCTGCTGGTGGGGAGCTCCCTTCAAAGCTGAGCTCCTGGCCAACAACCACTGCTCTCCAGCCACCCAGCTAAGAAGGCAGCGCAGAAGTAAGGGTGGCAATACGGTGACCCCCCTAAAATAAACTTGCGACCCCCCCTGCAACTCCCTTTTGGGTCAGGGCCCCCAATTTGAGAAACGCTGGCCTCCCCTGTGAAATCTGTAGAGTAAAAGCACACAAAAGGCCAGATTTCAGGGGGGGAGACCAGATTTCACAGGGGGAGACCAGATTTCATGGTCCATGACGGGTTTTTCATGGCCGTGAATTTGGTAGGTCCCTAATCATCACTAACTCCTAGAGCACAGCAATCTCCCCTTGGCACTGGCAGCCCTGGCCGTGCAGCGTAAATACACTGTTGTTGTGCTAGGGAAGGAATAAAGGCTCCCAGCACAACAGCAGGGGGGATGGGTCTGCTTTCTGCCTTCGGTGTGCACTAAGCAGGCCCCACAGCTCAGCTAACGCAGCTGGAGAGGCTGAATTTCCCACTGGCTCACTAGTGACATCTTAGCTTCTGTTTCAGGTTCTTCCTTCCTCATAAGCACAAGGAACACACGGGGCGGGTAACTGAGAGCTAACCTGGGGCTGCAGCGTCACAGGGAGCAGCACAACATTCCTGGGAATTATGGGCAAGAGTTCACCCCTCTGACCTGAGACCACAGTGCTCATGGGGAACATCCAGAAGCAGCATTTTCTTCATGCACCAGACCCCTGCCTGTGTCCCTCACCCGTCGATTCTCTTTCACTCATTCCGAACAGCAATAGCTGCCCCTTGGCTCAGAGTGCACAAGTAGCAGCAGCAGCACTAATGTGGTACCAGGGGTGGGGAAGGGTCTCAGTGCATTCTCCTCTCCCACTCACAATTCACCAGATGGGCAGAGGCAACATCAGTTTGGCCCTTAATGTTGCATTAAATATTGCAAGAGGCAGGTGATCTTATGGCTCAGTTCCCCATCTCTAAAATATCAGGGAAAATCATTCATTTCTTCCACTGTTTTCATTCATGTCTATTTAAATTATACGCTGCTTGGGGCAGGAATTGTCTCAAACCATTTGTTCTAACAGTCCATATGCAAATGAGCCCCAACATCAGCTGGGACTGTTAGATGTTACTGGAATATAAATAATAATTTAGGAGTGTAACTGGCACTGACACAGAAGAGCTCTGATATTTCACATATCTTGGCAGCATCCCACGTACAACAGGTGGAACAGACAAAGACATTAAAGCCAGACTAGCAAAAGCCAGACATGCCCTTGTAACTCTAAATCTGATCTGGAGAAATACAAATCTTACCTTCCCAACCCAACTTCAAATATTTAGCACCATTGTAAAGTCAGTCTTACTACATCGTGCTGAAACTTGGAAATGTGTTGAGACCTTATATCTATACTCCAAGTTCTTATAAACAGCTGCCTTAGACAAATGCACAATATCAGATGGGTAGGGGGAAAAAACAAAGGAAGATGAAACAAAAACTGATGAGACAGGAAATTCTGGAACAAAAATGGAGATGGCTAGAACATACATGGACAAAAAATTTGAATCACATAATAAGACAGGCGTTGGACTGGAACTCCCATGGCAAGAGGCAATAAGGTAGACCATGAGGAACATGAAATGCACAATAGAAGCAGACTTGTTAGTTATCAAATTGAGACTGAAAGAACCTAAGACTGCAGGAGGAAACCAGCAAAGATGGAAGACTCTGGGGAAGGCTCTATGTCCCGCAAGGAATAGAGAGGAATAAGATAAGAGAGAATGAGTGTCGTTTATGAAGCACTGTAAATTTACACTGTGATTTCAAACATTCCTATGGAGCCCATCACTATAGAACAGTGGTTCTCAACTTGTTATCTGGGCTGCAGGGGCCAGGTGGCAGGGAAGCGGCAGCACGGACCTGACCCCAACGCCGGACCCCTGCCATGCGGGGCCAGCCGCCTGCCTGCCCCGGACCCCATGGGACTGGCCGGTTGCCCTGACCCCGGACCCTCGCTGTGTGGCTTCCCCAGACCCCAGAGCTTGCAGGGCCAGGCAGCTGCCCCTGACCCTGTTGGGCTGGCCAGGAGCCCCAGACCCCCAAAACCCATGCCGGCAGCCCTGACCCCAATGCGCTGGCTGATGGGGCAGCCCGGACCCCTCCGCTGGGCAGCCAGGAACCTGGGGGACCTGGTACACAGGCCGACCTTTAGCAGACAGCTGAGCTGGGCTGCAGCTGTGTGCTAATTGGGCCGAATGTGGCCCGTGCTCCACGGGTTGAGAACCACTGCTATAGAAGGTAGGTGCCAAACATGCATCAGACGTCTACAGGGCCGGCTCCAGGCACCAGCTTAACAAGCAGGTGCTTGGGGCAGCCAAGGGAGAGGGGCGGCACCTGCAGCAATTCGGGGGCGGCAGGTCCCTCACTCCCTCTAGCAGCGAAGGACCTGCCGCTGAACTGCCGCCACCGATCGCGGCTTTTTTTTTTTTTTTTTGCTTGGGGCGGCAGAAATGCTGGAGCCGGTCCTGGACGTCTAGCAGAGAAAAAAAATAAGAAGCAAACTGTAGACATAGGTGTTTTTTTAACCCAGCACACTGGAACTAACCCACTCTAATATGGCTCACTGTGTTAGCGTCTACACACTCTAAACAAATATCTTCCATTTACTCATTGATCACAGATCACAGGGGAGAAAATGTGAGAGAGAAACAGCCAGAAATGGTCATCTCTGGAATGTTTCGCACATCCTTTCCCATTACATTAACACAGGTTGTTATATGTGCAGTTAATGGCTTGAGTTATAAGACGTTTGAACCAAACAATTAATATAATGAAAAACAGAAAGACAAGAGTCTTTGACTCCTCAATTTCCAACAGACATGAAACAATCCCCACCGTGTGTGTTTCTGAGCCTTTCCATCAGAAAACAAGTTTCCTCCTGGATACGTTCCTCAATGCTTTTCTTCCCCATCCCAAAATTTCTCAGATTAGTGAGGACAAATCGACGGAGCTGCTTCCACTGCTCCCCATTGCTGAAAAGAATACCTGGAAATGGGAAGAGAACAGGAATGAAAGGAGGGAGGGCCAGACTCAGTTTGCCTATTTGAAAAAATACCCAAACATTGGTGAGTCAAAGGTTCAGCTTCAACTTAAACGATACTGTGCCTATTTTCTACTAGGGAGACGACATTACCGCTACATTACAATTACTATTCACAGCATTGCTGTTGCCATGTTGGACTCTGGATATGGCTCAGACAAGGTAGGTGAGGTAATATGTTTTATTGGATCAACTTATGTTGGTGGAAGGGACAAGCTTCTGAGCTGCACCAAGTTCTTACTCAGGTCTGCAGCAGTTAATTAGCGCGTCCAAGCTAAAAACAAGTTGGGACAGACTGCAAAAGAGGTTCACTCTTAAAGAAATACTGTTTTTATGGCCCATTACAATATTTATTAGGCCTGGTCTACACTGGGCGGGGGGGAGAAATCGATCTAAGTTACGCAACTTCAGCTAGACTAGACACGATAAATCGATCCCCGCTGGATCGATCGCTGCCCGCCGATCCGGCCGGTAGTGAAGACATACCCTAAAACACCCTGCTGACTACTAACCCTCCATTATTCCACCACTGCAGAAGTTTTAATTGGCCATTATAGGCCACTTCATTTTCAGTGGTTTCCTACAGTGTGCCCAAGTTACAAGCCTTTGAAAAAAAAATCACATTTCACACATGCTCAGTAGAGACTTCTTAGAATTTAGCAGTTAAAATCTCCAAAGGTTCTGTCTTCACTAGGCATGCACCAGCACCTCACTGATCCTGGTGCCTGTCCACATGCAAGATGACAAGCTACTGCTGCTCTCAGTTACTCCATTAACTCAGATATCTGTGCAGTTGCATAGGGAATCTTAATTCTAGCATTTCCTAACTTCTGAGTGCTTGACTTTACAACCTCAATAACGTTCCTTTCAAGTGTTTTTTCCCTGTGTAATAAAATAACTATACTGATGGTTCACTTCATGCAGAAATAAGATAAAAGGACTTCTTGGCGCTTCCATATTTATTTCTTCCTCACTACTAAAGAATCTTAAAAACTGAGACACCTAAGTAAAACAATAATACAAATAATCCTTCACTGCTTATGGGATATACCTAGTTAGTGAGAACAGGAGAGGAAGAGGATAGAAATTCATGGTTTGTTCTGACTCTCTTGGCCTCTCCAGCCCTGCTTTCCTGGCTGTATTCTGGGACTACTAAAGTAGATTGGCCTGGCCATTACCTGTCATAAACCTGTAGTGACGTGCTCGTAACCGTTCATGTCAGTGAACCAGTGGTGTTACCCAGGGTTTTCAGAACCCAAAACTTAACTGTTTCACTCCAGGCAGTGTCAGGAATAAATCAATGAGAACACAGCAATTCCGTCTGATAAATTATGGATATAAGAGTGCTCTTATCTAAATCTATGATTTATTAGATATTAAGCACACACAGACATAAGCAATAGGTTTGGAACATCCCAGATATAGTTACCCACAATCTGAGATGATTTTGAGTAATCATCAACCAGACTTCCAGGGGCCCTCTTTCCATCCAGCTGATAGGGAGTTTAGATGTCAACTCCTTTCCCAAAGAAAAGCTCCCGTGAACTGATCTGAGGTATTTACTTTTACCAAATCTTTTATAGCTAACTCTAACAAAGCACATAACCTATAGTAACTCCTAGTGGGTCAGCATAAAAACATCTGCTGGGTCCTCAATTCTTCTAATTTCAACAAACTACTCATTAGCTCAAAACATTTCTGGTATTTCTAGCCATAACAACAATATGTCAAGGGCACCTAAAACCAAGGTCGCAATTCACTCACTTTCCTCCATAACTTTCTATCCCATCCTCCCATTCTGATTAACAAACTGCAAGTATGCAGCTGTCTGACCTTGATTATTCCTAGCTATGTGATATTTGGTTTTCAACTGGCAGTGGCTGAACATACAAAATGGCTAACTGCTGGACTGTCAAGTTCTGGGGTACACACATGAATGTCAAATTCTGGGCAACAGTGGCACAATAGGGAAGGGGCTCTTTCCTGAAACCAAGACTATTTATCCATTTTTTATTACTGTATGAATGAAACTCCAGCTGTTTCCCTTTTGTCGTTGCAATTGTGTTCTCCTCTATATGCTGAAGTTACTTGAAAGGTACCTCTTCCCTTGGCAGATTTTTCAAATATCGGCATACTTCCTCTTCCACTGAACTCGTCCCCGAGACCGATCAGAGCTTCCTTCACAATCTCATGTCCATACAGCACCACAACCCGTTCTGAGCCTAAGTATATTGTGAAAATTGGGCCATACTTTGCACTGAGCTGTAAAAGTTTAACACAAAAGACCAGTAAGTTTTAACTTAGATCCACTTAATTACAAATAAAAATGTGTGTAGATCAGATTACAAACTGATGAAAGTGTTCTCATGTCACTGAGCTAATACTAGGCAAGTTAAGTTTTAGTACTGATCATTGTCCAGACTTGGCTATTTCAGCCCAGATCCTCCAAGGTCAGGGCCGGCTCCAGGCACCAGGCAACCAAGCTGGTGCTTGGGGCGGCACCTGGAGGGGGGCGGCGCGGCGCTCCGGCCGCCGGGGAGAGCGGGGCCACAGCCGGGCTCGCCGCCCTCCCCCCGGCGCTCTGGCCGCCGGGGGGAGAGCCAAGCCCCAGCCGGGGCTCGCCACCCTGCCCCCGGCGCTCTGGCCGCCGGGGGGAGAGCCGAGCCCCCGCCGGGGCTCACCGCCCTCCTCCCACGGCTCCGGCCGCCCTCCCCCCCGGCGCCCTCCCCCCGGCCGCCGGGGGGAGAGCGGAGCCCCCGCCGGGGCTCGCCGCCCTCCCCCCGGGGCTCCGGCCGCCCTCTCCCCCCCCTGCGAGGGGGGGGGCGGCCGGAGGCTTTTTTGCCTGGGGCGGCAAAAAAGCCAGAGCCGGCCCTGTCCAAGGTACAGTATTTAGGAGCCTAACTCCATTGATTTCTATGAGAGTTAGGCACTGACATATCTTGGAGGATCTGGGACTTCCTGACTTTTCAGTGCTTCACTTTATCTTAATACATTTTTAACATTTTCCCCTAGATATGTTTATGCCTTCCCAAGATAATTGTAAAACACAGATTGAATTATTTCATTATTGGAGCAGACTACATTAATATGGGGCATTTCAATGGTGATCTTGAGAGCTATGTAAAAATGACACTTCTAACTCCACAGAAATGCTGCCTGTATTTATTCAGTCATGTCAGCTGATTTTATGATGACAGGACAGAGTTTCCCTTCGTTTTACTCTTGTCAGCCCTGCAGAGCCAAAGACAGAGAAAAGTGAGATTCTGTTTCCCCTTTTACATCATCAGCAGAATTACTGTTCAATTTCCAATTGATTACACCTGTGCAAATCAACAAACACATCTGTAGCTCAGGGCATGATGACAAGAGAATGAAGATGAACAGCTGTGACTGGGGGCAACATTTGTCCTGTACAACCCTCATTATTTGTGATGATTTGCGAGAAGGAAAGAATCCAACCTGTCTGTCCAATCCCAGGTTGTTGCAGAGCTGGCTAAAATGCCAGAACATGCAGCACTACAACGTCATTCCTTCAAAGCTGAGCTACAGTTTCTGCCTTACCATCATTTTGTGATGTAGGCAAATATCATTAGAGCAATTTTACAGATGGGGAAATTAAGGCAGAGAGAGATTAAGTGAGGTGCCCAAAAGCACACCTGGAGTCTGTAGCAGAGGTAGGTACAAACCCCAAGGCTCACGATTGCCATTTCCTTACATAACCCACTAGAGCGCTGTCTCCACCCTGTGATCACTTGTACCCATTGCAGTGCAGCTGCGGGGGGCATTCTGGATTAGATGTGAATAAGATCCCCTCTAATATGAGCAGTACATTATCCTGAACAGTTTACATCTAGCCTCCAAGCTTGATTGTTTAGTGAAATAATAAGTCAGAAATCTGAGCTGATGTGGAATTGCCACCAGGCTAGGCTTGAGCCAGGCTCTGCTTAATGTCCACCTACAACCCAACAACTGGTACCGAGAAAACACCCTTACCTCCTCTACACATTGGGGCAAGTTCTTCATATTCAGCTGCAGCATGTTCCCTATGATGGGAAAAGCAACAGGCCCAGGAGGCAGCTTCCCACTTCCAGACATCTTTCTCCATGCCGAAAGGAAAAGAAGGGAAGAGACACAAATCACCAGGAAAACAGTTGTTGCTCCCAGAGGTTCCATTGCAGAGTGCAGCAATTATTCTGGATTCTGACAGGATAAAAGAAAAGAAAAGTGGATCCTCGCTTTTTATATTGTATACAGCAAAAGTGGGTGCAAGCGATTAGCCAATAGGAGCTGTCAATTCCTCTGAGTTAACAAGATAAACTCTGGACTAACAAAAGTGACCAGAGTCATCACACTTGGAATGGACTCCTTTGAATATATCATCTCCATTTGCTCGTGTGCTCACTGACAGAGAATGAAAATTAATCGTAAACTGAATCTCTATAAAACTGCCCAAACTATCATGAAATCATCCTCTCTCCTCACCCATGTGGTTAATGTTTCTCATTGGCTGGGTGCCAGCTGGAACATTATACACATACAATGATGATTCTTTTTCATGTTGCTCTCCAGGATTTAGTATATGGATCGATGACCAGAAGACACTTAAGAAAAACACCAAGCTGAATGTTTGATAAAATTCAAACGGAATCCTGAACATTTTTGGAGATTTCACAAAGTTTGGTTAACATTTAACAAATGGAGTGACCCTCCCCCTCCCCCTCCCACTCCCCCTCCCCCTTATATTGAACCTGTACGACTCTTGGTTTCAAACTGAAACATTAAGACCTGAGACGCAAGATTTGACGTGACCTGGAAATCAGTGGAAATATTCCCATTTATTTCAGTGGGATTTCGATCAGGGTCCATGAGAAATTAATGAAACAGGATGTGAAGGGACCAACTCCTCAGGTCAGAGTGGAGCTTAAAAGAAAACAGTGGTTTCAAAGTTTGATTATGACTCAGTGTTAGTTCTGCATTGATTTTAAGGCAGAAGAGTCTAGATCCTCTAGTCTGACATCCTGTATAGAACAGGCCATTCACCCAATTAACAATGTATTGAGCCCAATAACTTGTGCTTGGCAACCAGATCTTCCAGAAAGCAGGAGTGCTGGAACAATGCTTTTGGTAGGGGGGAGGGGAGGCGGAGACTGAGAAACTGAGAGCCATTGAACCCAACTATAAATCCTGTATATAATGGAAACCACTTCAAGTCAGGGGGTTCTGCAGCATCCCCCGCACCCCTAGTTCCAGCACCTATGCCAGAAAGGCACCAAATCTTGATGTGAAGACCTCAAGAGATGGACAATTCACCACTTGGTAGTCTGTTCAGTGGTTAATCACCCTCACTGTTAAAAACGTGCCTCATTCTAATTTGGGTTTGTCTGGCTTCAGCTGCCAGGCATTGATTCTTGTTCTGCCTTTTCCC